ATATATTTCATTAGAAATTGAAATATCATTAGAATAATTAGAAGAAGCTACCCATAACCTTATAATATCGATGTTAATATTTCATTAGAAATTGAAATATGAACACAAATTATTACAAACTAGTGAACGAAGGCCCATTTGAACTATGTTTATGAACTAGATTCGTTATACAGTTTAATAGCACATTTATATTTAGTATTCAATAATATATTAATTATTAATCAATGTGTTTCAAACAGTTTGAATACAAATTAATTACTCAATAGGTATATTAAATACGTTATTTTTACAATCTTATTAATGGGCTGTAAAAAATCGAATACCTACATAAACTGGTAATTTAAATTTCAACATACTTTCTTAAAATAAATAAAATTTTATAATACGAGTATTTTATGTTGCTATYATTTTAATATTAGCAATAATATTTGAATTAATTTTTATATTCATGAATTAATTACTACAGGAATTACTTTAGTTGTTTATCAATATTAGATATACTGAGTAATATTTTGATTTGATCGTTCTTGACATTGAGGTTGAAACCGAGCAGAAATCACTTGTATTAGAAATTAGAACTGAAATTTTCCGAAAAATATGAAACGTAAATTTCTACTCCACAAAAAATATATATTAAAACATAAATCGAAATCAATACTCTAATAGACAGAAAGAGATTTTAAGTTTAATTATAATATGTTATTTTTAGTTCTAGTAGATATCAGTGGCGCCCCACGTAGCTAGGGTACCAATTACTAATTAGTGTAATTTCACTGGTTCCACGCGGGTCTCAGTAACTCTATACATATTAAATACATTTACTTATCTGGATCATTCGATCCTTGAATGAAACGTTAGGCATTGTCAGTGTCAAATATATAAATAAATATAATAACTAATATAACTATATGAGATAAATGAATTTATAAATTAAAAATTTAAGGGCTCTATAATTTTATTATAATTGCACTGATTCATAAAAAACCTGTGGGCACAAATGAATATTATATTTACAAAATAATAACAAGTGTTCAGATGATTTTGTTTGACATTATTGTTTTAATAATAAATTACATGATTTCAGTTTAAATAACTGCAGGTATTAAAAAAATAATAATATGTATATTGTATAAGTGTATATGGATTTTACAACCCATAAAAAAATATAAAGCGAATACCTATAATAGATTTATAAATAAAGTTTTCATGTTGAATAGGATGTTAAAAAAATGTTTAAGCTTTGCATACATAATCTTACTTGAATAATTATTTTTTGAATCTTAAACCAGCAAAATTAGAAATATATAAATATGTAAYATAATATATAATTTTCAAAATCTATGTATTATAATAAAAAAAGGTATAATCGCTATATAATAAGTCTAGTTGTTTATTTATGTTTTTAAACTGCACTCAAGGGCTTAATTTTCAAATTTGATAAAATATGGATAATTTTTAGTGCCTATATGACATACCGATCAAAATATAATAACAGTAGGTACCTACCTATAATCTATATAAAGATAATATACCTATTTAGTCATATTACACTCTTATAGGACCGGTACTTTAAATTATATAACTAYTGCTTATCTAACAGTGAACCAAATAATACTACATAKTATGATCTTCACATCGATGAGCTTATAATAGCTTATAATATATATTATATCTGAGATAAAAATAATAGCATTTATTACATAATTATGTATTTTAAATTCGTCGTCACAGCGTCACCTGTAATATAAAGTATATCATTATATCATACAGTACTAACCATATTACTATATATACCTACCGTCTATACCTAACTACATAATATATTTTAAACGGCAAATAAAGTGCTGTTGCGTGTGTGCTCCRGTGGCGGTGGCAGTGCGACAGGCACGGGAATCTTCATTAGACCGATTGTTGAATGCCACCATGGTTTGAAGACGTCAGCATTACACATAATAATATATCATTATAATATTTCAATATATTATTATTATTATTATTATCATATTTATAAGTATATTATCATCATATAAAACATTGAACCAAGAAAACGCGCACGACTCGATGTACTTGTGCGTGCAGAATATTTTAGTATAGTACCATACGCATCGRGGTGCAGTGGTGGAGTATAATAATATAATATATTTACTGTTGCGGCAACAGCGACGACGCACACCAATTAGTGTCCCTTAAATCAAATAATAGACTTGTATATATATTATACACGTATACACGTTTTATACCGTTTGCGGTGTCTGTTCTGGTTCCGTAATCGTAAGTTTGGCAGTTTGCACACAAAAGTTAACAAGGCAACCGGCGGCGGCGGCGCCACCCTTTATACGCGGACAAGACGCAATCGCATATAATCTTTCCTCGTGCCCCGTCYCTCTCATTCGTACCCCCTTCTCTGCTTAATCCCGATCAATCTCTCTCGCTCACTCTCTCAAACTTACCCACCCCGCTCGCTATCTCTCTCACCCTCTCGCTCACTCCCTTGCTAACTCTCGTTATTTTGTCTCTCATCCGACAAATGTTCTCCTCCCTTTTGCAAACACACGCACGCACGCATGCATACACACACACCCACACACACACACACACAAGCGCACATATACCATGGTCTTTATATTTGCGAGTGTACGACATAATAAAACCAGCAGGTCGCACTGCTGTCACCATGGTTACCAGAAACGAACCATAGCTTTTTGCCATCGAGTGCGTGTGCGTATATACAAACTGCGACCATACATACATACGACACATGMACATGCGAGCAAACGTGTATACACCATTTTTTTATTATTATTATTACTATTTTTTTTTATTGCTCTTCCCCAATGAAAAAAATCGAAAAATTTGTTTTTATTATTTATTTTTTAAACATCTTCACTATACACCTATATTTACACTTATATATTATTATATATTCCGAACCGTCGGAACTTGATAGTGGTATGAAAACAGTATAACTAAGTATAGTACCTATAATATTCCCGRTAAGAAATTTAATTATACTCATATATTAAATATCATCGTAGCAAAATACTTAATTTGTAATTTGTATGTATAATAATTGTTAGTGACGATAATGATGGTATTTGATTCTTTGTAAAATATTAGATACCTATATAGGTAGGTATATTATTCTACTTTCTATCTCTCACTTATTTATTTCCCAACTACTCAATTTCTATATAACATTTAGTTATTATGGAGGTATCCTATAGATATAGTTCTCAAACTTTTGCTTGATTACCACATGCGAGCATTACGTATCAGTTACTTACCGTGTAATGTCATCGGCCTATTAAGTAGGTACTAGTTTACTAAACACATAACTGTATTCAAAATTATAAATCCGTAAATCATTATGATCATATTTAAATATTTAACACATATGTATTTCAATTTATTTTCTATAAGTATACCACCACAGCTTTTTCGAACTTATCTATATTTATAGTATATAGTGCAATATTTTATATACCAATACATTAGAGGTAGAGGCATAATGTTTATATTATGCAATATTCATACTGTATACGTTAGATTACGTATACCTACGTTATGGRACGTTGGTTATTAAACTAKATACAAACATTGATTTTAATTTTAAGGTTTAATTAATTACACAAAAGCTTATTATYAAGGTACTATTTAATATGTATAGTTTTATTAAAATTGAAGTTAAATAAATCAGCGAAATACCTATATCTTTAAAATACATTATTCTAATTTTATAGTTGTATAATTTGAACAACCATTATATTCATTACATACTCGATACTCATATATGTATACACAACACATATACAAATACATATATATATATATATATATATATATTTAACTCGCATCTTTTCTTCTCCATTATTCACAGTTAATCGCCATTTCTTATAGGCTTMTAAAGCCAGCTCTCAACTTCTCCATCGTTCTTGATTTCTCCGATAAATKTATAGCGAGATCACCCAGGTTGTATTTTCCCTTCAATCATGCCTTTTAATTTAGCGTTATTTAGTTCTTTTAGAATCATTTTAGTGTGTACCCCACAATTTCCCATCTTATTTTTATAATCGACGTATTTGGTATATAGATGTAGATATTAATTCGATATATCTTGATATTGCAGGGTGAAATGAATTTTTGTTATAGGTATTTTTTGTATTATGTACCTATATATAATCTGTTGATAGAGGTAGAGTTAGGTATGTAACTAAAATCCAAGTCGTTTATTGTGTAAGTCATGGAATGTCAAGAATATAATTTTTTTAAGTAAACAATAAAGCGCATATTATGAAGTGGCACTTGAAAAAAACAGTACTCAATTAGTACGAAAGTACCTACATGTTAGATTGTGTAATATTGTTTTTTTTTTTTTTTTGCGAAACAAGTAACAATAAATAAATATCATACAAATGTAAATTAGAGGGTTATTTGAACAATAAATGTTGTTTATGAAATATATTTTACCGGCCGTTTTCACTTTACTATCATTAATTAATCATTATAAATTTTTATTTTGCATAATCTATACTAAATATTTAAAAGTGTTTTTTTTTTGTGTAAATGCTGCAGCAGCGTATTTATGAGTAAAATTTTTATTATAAAACTTATAAATAATATGCTATTATTTTATTATTATTATTATTATTATTATTATAGTCAATCTGTTATTTTAGAAAATAAAAAATGTTATCACATAACTACAATATAATAATAATAATAATAATATAATATAATGTACTTACGCACTTACCTTTATAATAATTGTATATATTATATGTATGCAAGTTAAATTTAGTGAACGTTTTCATTTCTTTAGGTGTTAACATTGATTGTACCTATATTATTTATAATTATACCTAATCAATGATATCACTAATGATATAACTTGTTTTTAGTGCAAGCTCTCTAATATTATTTACTATTACCTCGTAAACATAACTTAATTAATTGTGAAAATATTTTCTGTTTTATTTTGAATAATAATATTTCTGTTTCAGGATTAAGTCATTTAAATCATCAAGAGTCGGGCAAGGACTACAGTAATGAAGCTATGACAACGTCATTTGGTTCCAACAAGAAGAAGAAAAAAAGAAGGCACAGGCAAGCATTTAAATAAAAATCCCCCACGCTTTTAATGAGTTGTGATTAATCTTGAATGAGAATTTTAATATTATTTTACCTGCAARTTTTAATCCTAAGTTTATTTTGATCAATTAAAAATTTCAAATAATAGATTACCAGCAACATTTATAGGTTCTCCGTTARTCTGTATTAATTAAAAAAATTTATAATTTTTAAAAACATTTATATAGGACTATATTTACCAGTTATCAATTAGAAGAATTAGAAAAGGCGTTCAAAGACGCTCATTACCCGGATGTCTATGCAAGAGAAATGTTATCCTTAAAAACAGATTTGCCAGAAGATCGAATACAGGTACTTATACCTTTGATTAATAATAAATCCAATTAAAATTTAAAAAAATATATAATTTATTTAATATATATATAAACCTATACAATATGATAATAAATAACTAGGTAATACGTATTTCAATTTGCATACGTTAAATAATTGACGAAACGCCACGTGTTTATACAGGATGATTCATCAAGCATGCTAACCCTCTTTTATTCTAGTGTTGTTATTCAAAATCTGATTGTTTAGATTGTTTAATATACTTAAAGATTATATCTTCAAATTCTTTTGATGTTTTTACTTCTTAACAAGTTTTCTGTGGTGATTCAAATTTCTATTTTTCACACGATAACCCCTTTTCTACTGTAAATTATTTAGCGAATATTTTTTCTTAAAATGTTGTATCATAAACCAAATAAACCATTTGGCGTAGTTTAGATATTTAGACATGATTATACATATGTTCAATGTTTTGTTCACTTATTCATTGTATACAAAATGAATAATATAGGTTTGATGTGTTTTATTTTACATGATTTTTATCTACTATATGACTGTTTGATAAATGTACACAACAACTTATCAAAATAATACTTTATATCATACATTTATTAAATTTTAAATAACAATATTTAGAGCATTGATTGTTACATATGCGTATTATATAGGTATGCTATATTTAAAAAAAAAATGTATTGAATTCAAACCGATCAAATTGCTATAGTAAGCTAATAACTATAGTAAAGTTATTGATGTTTAACAATGAAAAATAATTTAAAAAAATATACAATAATAATCTATTGATTATAAGCCRAACCGATAAAATATTTTTAAATTTTCATTTAAACTGCAGTTTAACTGCAAAAAAGACAACTTTACAATTTATTATACTAAAAAAATCATAAGAACATGCACTATAGTACATGATGTAAGCAATAAATATTAAGAAATATGGTGTGTTACTATTTGTAACTGTAAGACAAGAAATCCTATACTAAAAACTTAAATTTTTAATTTTACAATATTSTACAAAATATATAAATTGAAAAGTATTTATTATATTTTTAACAATTATTTGTCAGTTAATCTGATCAAGTAAAGTTTATTTACATATTTTGGCTATAGCAGGTCCGCGTGATTACACTTAACAGAATATTATTGTCTTTAAATACTTTGCATTTCGATCAATACAATTGAAATTCATGTACAGTTAGTGTTATTGTATTAATATACAATAATAAGAACCATATTTAAAATTACCTGTTTTTAATGTTAATTTGGGTTTASTGTTGGTTTACAGTGTRTACATCTATATTTTATAAGTACCGCCTATATATATTATATCAATTAAACTGAAATATCGGATCCGGAACAAAATATATAGATAGATAGGTATGTAGAGTTTTTTTTTTATTTAGAAAATTTACAATCTGTATTACACAACACAATAGGTAAAATAGATGACTGACATAACACTATATACATAAAATAACAAGAAGCACAAGATGAGGGAAATCATCCAGCGATGGTATACCCTCCAATAATTAATTTTTTTTATACATTAATTTAATTGGTCACGGCACCAGTTTCTTTTGAGTCGAAGCGGTGCAGGGTTGTCAGGAAAAGAGTATGTGATGCTACTATGCTAGGTGAGTGACTAAAGGATTGGGACGGTGTTGCAGTTTAGAGTGAAATCTGTTACAGACGTTACAGTAGGTACCTACAATTTAGCTAGTTGGTCAACCGTTGGCATTCTTAGATCTATGTGCAGGGTTTTATTAGGTATGTAGAGTTAAATATTTTAAGAAGCCATTTCCTGTGGCTAAAATTATATATAAGAATTTGAAACCAGAAATCACTATAACAGAAATATTTCTACTACACAGTAGGTACATACCATACAACACATAGGTTATCCTACATTTTAAATTTCATAAAATATATTATAAGTGTATATAAATTATAAATAGATAAGTATGATAGCTTCAAAGAGACTAATAATATTTTCCCAGTTCAAATTTTTAGATACACCAGTATGGCTATATACATCCGAATATTGGTTCCGATAAGGACTTTTAAAARGGCGAAAAAGTACTATTTATTATTTAATATTATTATAATATATTTACCATAATTATAAATACGTATGAAACTGCGAAGAACAGACAAACTGCAGAACCTTAAATCTAAAAATAAGAAACTATTTATAAAAACAATAATATAACAATAATGAAATTAATAGACTATATTGAATTTATAAAAAATGTCTATTATAAATCTTTACCTCAATAATACATACAACTCTAAAAAAGAGGAATGGACGAATAAGGTATTATTCATATCATTTTGATTATTATTTATTTTGTACGTAGTAATAAAAAATGAAAATCGCATGACAAAAGTTACAATTTTTAACAACCCGGGAACCAATTCGGATATAATCTTTAWAAAAACTTGGGAACCAATGTTGACATTTCGGAACCAATTCGAACATGCCGATCTATATATATGTATATTTATTTATTTATTATACGAGTACCTATTATACAATATAATATTACGTACATTGTGATAATATTTTAATATAATATGTCGTACCATTATATAAAATATAATGGCATATAATAATATGTATGAAATGTAATTACGACGACTTAAGTGCACCGAATATATTATAAACTTATTCCATTTGAGGTGTATACATCTATTTATAATATACATATTGAATACAGGTATATGTGCGCGTGCACTTAATGATAATTATATAATGGTACCTATACATAATACCACAGTGCGCTGACGGGGTGTGAAGGAAACTGAAAATATTTATTTAACCAAGGGAATGGTTTTGGAGCACAGCCATTGGACAAGTGGCCAATTAACGTATAGGGCGGCCGAGGCGGAGTCTATACGCACGGCGGTGGCCGTCCGGGCGGCGCGAACCATTAGACGGGAAACACGAAACAACTGGCGCACGACAAGTAAATTTAGAAACGCGCACCTAGCAATTATATTTTACTATTATATAATATAATGTACCATACTATACTATTAACATTGTTACCGCTACTATACACTACTGCAATATTGCAGTCTAAACACACTAAACCTGCACCGCTGTCCACGTGGTTTTTTTTGTTCAAAGGGGAGGTCTTTGCTTAACAGCTGTTGGAATCGTACGCTATAGTTGTACGAAGATAGAACTATGAATGTACCTAAATGTAATATACGTTTAAAATATAAAAAATATTTACTTTATCGGATATAAGTCAACTATGTAACGGCTTCAACTATAAAATATATATATACAATATTATGTATACAATTTAGGTACGCTTTATATTCTTAAAAATTATAATGAATATAGATATATATGGTATTATGGTACCTGATATCCGATTAACTATATTATATTATGTTAAGATAACTATTTTTCATTTCTTGTGTAGATTTACAACCAATCAGTTATAAGATAAATTAACCAATTTAGATGAACATCGTAAATAATTCTACATGCGAAAATCGTGTAAATATAATATATTTATATATATATATATATATATATAAACTTTATATGTATAATCGAATAATAAAATATACCAAATCAGGGTAATTCGCTAACAATATAATTTTTAAATAATAATTGAACATAAAATTACAAAACTTTGAACTTACTAATACACGTATACATTATATTAAATTAATACTAATATATATATATAGGTACCTATGATTTATAACGAATTAACGAAATAAAAATGTATACCTATAATTGATAAAAAAAAGTTTAAGTTTCTCCTATATACCTACTCCTTCCGGTTTCATATAATAACTTAAATCTTCGTTGCTATAATATAATCTCTTATTCATTAATTATTCTTAAAGTATTTTCTTTTAAAATTACTAATTATATAGGGATTTAACTTGATCAAAAAATGTTGATAATATGTGTCCAACATGATTTAAAATTTGTTTTTATATTGATTATCGTTATTTTAGATGGTGCAAGCCAAATATGAATAATATTTTTATTGATGAATCATATAATTAAACCATCGACAAGTAAAGGTAAAACAAATTAAGACATTGTACTATAATTTTTTAGGCCATTATTTCAAACGTTGATTAATTTTAGTTGCGCGTTAGTTTAAATATTAGCAACACAGTAAAAATCAAATCTTCAAAGTTGCACAAAAAATTAAAATTAAACAAAGAATGGCACTAAGATTTATTTTGACTTTTAAATGAATACAAGCCAAACTTAAAGAATCATGTTATCACGAACTGTCGCGATCAGTATCATTGAATAAGTTATCGATAATAAATGCGTTATTGTAAAATTTATATCAATAGCTTATTATGTAGGTATTAGCATTATACTATTACAAGATGTCTAATTTATAGATATTATTTCTTTTTTTTTGTGGTTCATCGGTATTTTTTAAAATTATTTTTGGTTATACCTAAACACCATTTTATCTCGCACTAGGTATCTATGTGCGATGACGTCGTCATTTCGCATTATTTCGTATATTGGAATTATAAATTTAATCAATAGGTACGTCAAAGCATTCAAAACCGATTGAATTTATTTCATAAATATGACAATACCTATAATTTTTTTATTTTACATAATATTGATAGTGGATATTAAAAAAAAAATTATAATAATAAACAAAACACTACCTTATAGATGATCGCCACAGCACAATACACAAAAAATGCCATCGCTGCATTTCCGGTACATATTATGCAGTATAACATTATAATTTATAATACATAAGTTCATGCTGCATGTACATTATGATCTAAGTTCAGCTTCAAATGTATTTCTCATTCCTCGAGCAGTGGTGTCGAATATTAGAAAAATGGTTTGTTCTTATTATAGTATATATATATATATTTATATATTACTCATATTATTATCACACAGCCATTAAATACGTATAATCATATAATCCTAACAATATTGTATTTCAAATATAATATCAATAGAAAATACTACAAAAGACATAAATCGTATACGAAGACAAAATTGGGCATCAGCAGATGTTTATTCTACTAAAATCGTTCAACCGTTTTACGGTTAAACATATATATAAACATAATTATACCTATATTTTCTACATATTTACATAATATGATTACATATATCACGTAGATGATTAAAACAACACTATATACGAATGAGTTAAGAAATCTGTGATAGAGTTCATATTGTGAAACTCACGAAGCGATAAGAGCACTCCATCTATATATTATAATATTATATAATAAAGATTACGACGTGTGTTGAAAGGTAAATTTTCATATATTCATATATGTGTAAGAACTAAAACTCGCGTAATTAATCAAAAACCGTGTAAAACTGTAAACACAGTTTGGATGATCATCCATGGGAACAACCGTGGTGTTTTTAAATTACGATTTTAATTAAGTCAGTGCTTTGAATAAGYGTGACTTAGGACGGGACTACCCTTAATTTATTTTATGAACCAAAGCGCACCTACTAATGTAATTTGCAAGCTGCAAGAAACATTGTAGTGAACGATGCGGCGTGTGTTGGCATTTGTTTTTGTTTGAAAATGCAAAGCTTTTTGTACGTCAAATGGTAATATATAATAATGTTACCGCATCAAACTCTAAAAATTGAAATTAAGGTATTAACGTATGTATTTGTGTCTCACAAAAAATGTGGGAAACGCTCTATAACTCAGTTACTTAGTACCCTATCCATATTTTGAATTCTGTWAGAAGGAAATATGAGACTTAAATATTTGATTATAAATTCTTATGACTTTCAATTTCTTAACTCTTGTATTTTGCACATGCGCAATTCTTCACTTTTAAGGGTAGTCTGTTACAATATTAGAATAAATACTTAAATGAAAAGAACATTAAATAAATTGTCTATATTGTAAATATTTATTATAAATTATCATTTTATGAGATGCCTATCTACATTGAATTATAATATTTAAATATTTTTAAACTTTTAATATCCAAAATCCAAAGATAGAAAAAATAGCTAGGAATTCAACACTTATRGTTTATAAATTTGGTAGGTACCTACATGATAATAAATTAAATAATGTGTTTAGAGTATGATATTGTATTTTGAAAATAAAATGTTCTATGTGACAATGTTAAAAAGGGATTTAAGTTCCATTCAAATGTTATTGCATTCGTATATTCGGTATGTATAATATAGTATATTGTGTTTGAATTTATATTCCGTTATTCAAAACGATACGCCCAAGTGTCAGACTGACCCTTATAATTTTTTTTTTTTGTCATCAAGTCTGTTTGGTTTCATTATTGACGTTTTTGCGGAGATTTCCACCATTTAGGGGCCCTATGACTAGCCCATGCCGTGGCGCCCCGCCGTGATGTTGATTTGAAAATAACTTCTTCCCTTCTCTTCATCCATTTGAACATCCTTCTCTCCCACYCACATCACTCTCTTTCACTCTCCAGGAACCCCGTCCAGTGGCGGTGAAAATAACATAGTGTCCTCGAGCTTTCACCCATCACACGCCCCCAAAATCGAATGATTGACTGTTTACGACACACAGTATATTTCCTAAACGGAATACACTATATATAATATGTTCACTGTACAGAAATATATGCATATATATACGAGCACAATCACTAAATGCACTGCAGTGCACATGCACAAACTACACACACTGACACTGCACACGTATACTTGCACGTGTACTGATTTTTATTTAAACATTACAAATGAATACGTGTTTTGTTTAAGAATAAATTAATTTAATATAAATTACGTTTGGGCATGTCAATTTATTTACAATTAATAAAATGTATGGAATTCGTATATAATTAATTATACATCTTATACAAAATGTCATCAATAAACAAAATCGTAACGATCATATAATAGGTACTGTACGCAATTTGTTATTAATAAATATAGGTACAGGGTTATTCAATATTTCACTATGATTGATCCAATTTTAAATAGTCGTATAATTCAAGTTATAGTATTTAGAGATATAACTGATAATCAATACATATAGTTTCTATGGTACCTTCCTACTAAATTATAATATGCGCGTCCGATGTGGCTTCACTAAGCTTCAATAGAAAAATTCGGCATAACCGGCAGTAAAATTCATCGTATATAATATCTACTAGCGCCAACATTTTATCCTTTGTAAATTGTAATTGATTTTACCGATATTTTCATATCCTCTTCTAAAGTAGATTATCTTTTAAGATATCCTAAAATGAAAAATCAAATGGCGTGTAAAATTATGTTAACCTAAAATATCGGATGATTGTGTATTTGTAAGAATCATTTCGCGAACGACCCTGTAAAATCGTATAAAACTTGTAACATTTTAAATCGAAGGTAACATAAATTGTATAATAATTAGCAATGTAAGACAGCTATAATACTATCTAATAMAGTAATAACATATAATAATACATTTATATTGGGTTTTAATATTATTTTATTGTTAACACAGCTGCAGGTAGATAGGTGGTATTATTATACAGGTATTTCAGAGATAATTTCAATGTAGACAAACCTGCAATGGGCATTTATATTATATGTCTGAAGGTGAGATACAAAAAAGTTACATGTGCAAGGACCGGAGTTAAAAAAAATAAATAAATAAAAAATATATATAAAAATATCCCAGTCATTATTGCCAGGACCATTGTTGTGTGTGGGCTGATTACTGGAGGAGACAAGTCAACCCAGAAATTATAAAACGCTGAATCACAATTATTATATTTTATATATGTGTATTTACATTATTATACACGCGTGCATAATAGCCGKTGTGCGCGCGTACGATTATTATTATTATTATCATCATAACTGTCAGTCGTCGGGTATTCGGTGTTTGATAGAGAGGTCGTTATACCCACGTACGGCCCGGATGCCGTCTCGTTACAACTGGATCCCAATAATTGGCAATCATCTATTATAATGATTTTACAAAAAACGCATTACGGTCCAAGGCCCACTTGATGGAATAATAATAATAATAATACAAATACACATCTATCTAAATATATGTATATATATTATATACCTCTTTCTCTCACACCTTTTCTCTGCGCACGATAACGTTTTGTAATTGTTGACGGTTCCCTCAATTATTATCATTATTATCGTTGTAAATAGTTATAATGACTGCGTGAAAAAATAAACATAAATAAATGCTAGTTTTTTATAATTTCATATGACGATAATATATTATTACCGTTTTTATTAGTTAAAAATATGTAATTACTATCTAGATAGTCGTAGTTGTTGACGGCCCACTATATATACTTACCGCGGAAATCGTCGCCATCACGTTTAATACAATAATGATAATAATTACTATTATTTTTGTGTCCACGATCCGTGTGTGCGCGGATGCGAAAAAAATAATAATACTTAGACAGGTATAGGTAGGTTTATTATAATAATATACGAAACGTCCAACCGTGTTTTTCTAACGGCATTTTGAATGAAGTTTTCATTCGTAGTTACAGTAAAATACGCTTTAAAAATAATACAGTTTTCGCATTGTACATTTAATCTATAGCCTACAAGTACCTGTTGTATTCTAGTAATAATATGCCTGGTAAATGCACAATATTTTATTATCATAAAAATAATAAAACGAATTTAAAATATATATTATAATAGCTTATTCGTGCGCATATCGGATGGATTGCCATCATAATATTATTATTAATGTAGTTACAAATAACAATATCGCATTCTATTTAATATGGTGGCCGCGAATAATATAATRGGAGTATACTATGCCTTGTCGTAAAAAACACTTTTCRTGTTGAATCGTGTCCCTCAACGCGAGCRAGGTACAATAATATTATGTTGTGTGCTTTGAATAATAACCGTCGTAACCTGTCAATGCATCCAACAACACATTATTATATTTTTTTTCCTCTTTTTTCCCCATTCGTTGTTCCCGTGGGTTTGCCTTTAAATTCCGACGGATAATGTTGCAGTGCCCACCCTCAATCCC